ATCAACGAGGCACTAGAGGTGCTCAAGGCGCGCACACGTGTCAAGTGAGTGTGACTGCCAGGAGGAGAGGGAGGTGGGGTGGGGGTGGGGGTGGGAGTGGGGGGGGGGAGGCGGGTAAGGCGGGCTGGGGGGTGTGGACAGAGGGACATAGCCAAGGTAGTGGACGACCTGACGCCATGAGGGCATATGACACTTTGAATGGGAATGACACACTAGGGGCAACGCATTGCGTGCTGTACAGCGCACATCTGCCTAAGATTATCTCACCGGTATGCCAGACCCCTCACTCTCAGATTCCCATCCCATCCCATCCCCTCTCCTCTTCTCCCCTCTCCCGCTTCCCCCCATCCTGTTTGTGATCCTTCTCTTCCCCTCCCCCCTTTCCCCATCATCCCAGGGACACAGCCAAGGTGGTGGACGATCTGGACGCCATGAGGGCGTACAACGCGCACCTGGCTGCTCTCGCCAAGGCTGCTGGTCCTGATGACCTCCTGCCCGGCATCGGCCCTGTCTCTGTCTTCGGTGCGCCTCTCTGCGCTGCCTGCCTGCTCTACTTCCACCCCCTTCCCCCGACCCCCCCTTCCTTACCCCATTTCCCCCCTTTTTATTTCCTTTTTGTACCCGTTATGGAGCCTTTACAAGAAACAGAAGGTTTAGTATTATACCTGTTAGTGCATCGCTGTTCCGTGGCTGAATGAAGCATTAGCTCATAATATCTCACTGCACCACATTGCATTCCGTTTACCATCCCATCGCATCTTACGAAATGGCATCCCATCGCATATCACTAAATGGCATCTTATTGCATCCATCCCCACCGCACTGCACCAGGTGGCGGGTACGACTCGGACAGACAGATGGACGATCTGAAGCTGCTCTACAAGACGTACCTCTCTGAGGCCCTCAACGCCCCCCGCCTCACCTCCGCCCAGGTGGGTCTATCTAGATACCACATGGTATACACATAATACACGTGTAGCACATGCAGCAGCACATGCCACATATGCAAGAATACGTCCCATCCTCTTCGCTCTCCCCTCTCTCCGCAACCTTCCCTAAGTCAACCAACCCGCCCTTCCCCGCTCACGCTCCCACGCTCACCTCTTCTCCTCCCCACTTTTCCCCACCAATGTCCTCCCTCTCTCCTGCCCTCTCTTCCCGAATCCCCCCCTTCTCGCTGTGCAGACGGAGGCCCTAGCAGAGCTGAGGAATACCTTCGGGATGGGCAAGAGGGAGGCGGAGGAGGCATCAGACGAGGTCACGCGCAAGGTGTACCGCCGCAAGCTGGCGAACCTCGTGACGGGCGGCGAACTGGACCGGGCGGCAAGCAAGGCGGAGGTGCTGCAGGAGCTCTGCGACTCCCTCAAGTTTGACCCCGAAAAGGCAGCCCAGATCCACGAAGGTGCGGTGAGGAAGGTTTTGGTGTGATTTGATGCAGTATGAATGAAGTGGTGGTGAGGAAGGTCTTATACTGGGAGGGCGACAAGCAAGGCGGAGGTGCTGCAGGAGCTCTGTGACTCGCTCAAGTTTGACCCTGAGAAGGCGGCTCAGATCCACAAAGGTTTGGAGTGCGGTGCTGTGCGGTTGGTAGGGAACTGCTGCGATGTGCATTGTTATTGTGCAGGAGCTCTGCCACTCGCTATGGTTTGATCCATAGTATGAAGTGCGAAGCTTTCTCAATGACTTGGTTCTAGTGAGGAGGGTAAGAAACGAAATGACTTGGTTTTAGTGAGGTGGGTAAGAAACGAAATGACTTGGTTCTCGTGAGGTGGGTGAGAAACGAAATGACTTGGTTCTAGTGAGGTGGGTAAGAAACGAAATGCCATTCCTCCTTTGTTTGACCCTGTTCCACGGTCCACCACACCCCCCCCTTCCCTTCCCCACCTTCCAACACTCTCCCCTTTTCCCCCCCGTCTCTGCAGAGATCTACCGGCAGAAGCTGCAGCAGTGTCTGGCGGACAAGTCTCTCAGCGACGAGGACGTGGCGGCTCTGAACCGCCTGCGCGTGCTGCTGTGTGTGCCCAAGGCAGCAGTGGACCAGGCGCATGGGGACATCTGTGGAGGCATCTTCACCAAGGTGGTGGACGATGCCATCGGCGCTGGTATCGACGGCTACGATGGCGACATGCGGGATGCTGTCAGGGCTGCTGTCAAGGGGCTGCGGTTGCCTCTTCAGTCCGCTCTCGACATTGCCACCAAGGCGGTGAGTGCATGGCGTTTGGGTGGGTGCAGTTGTGGGGGGCTGTGGGGCAGAAGCCGGCATGGTCAATGGCTACGATGGCGACATGCGGGATGCTGTCAGGGCTGCCATCAAGGGGCTGCGGCTGCCTCTGCAGTCTGCTCTTGACATTGCCACCAAGGCGGTGAGTGCTCTCGTGGGGGTGGGTGGGGGGAGGGGGAGTGTTGGGTGTGGTTGGGTTGGGAGGGAGGGAGTGTGTGAACAATTCTCAAGGGGGTCCCACTGCCCCTTCAGTCTGCTCTTGACATTGCCACCAAGGCTTTAGTAGAGCAAGGGGAGAGGTGGGAGTGTTGTGGGCTTGGGTGGGTGTGGTGTGGGTGAGCAACGGAGCAACAAAGGGATGCTGTGCATCCCTGCCCCCCTGTACCTGCTTTTAAGAAGATAGTAATCTTCTCCTACCTCAACTCCCCTTCCTCCCCTCCCTCTAAATGTTCCTCCACCTCCCTCACCCTCCCACCCCCTCTCTCTCCCACCCAGGTGCGAGCTGTGTTCCTGACGTACATCAAGCGTGCTAGAGGCACAATGAGCCGTGCTGAAGGCGCAAGGGAGCTCAAGAAGATGGTCATCTTCTCCAACCTCACCGTCTTTCCCCCCCCCTCCTCCCCCGTCTCTTGCGCTCTAAACTGCCCCGCCTTTCCAGGTACGAGCTGTGTTCCTGACATACATCAAGCGCGCCCGCGGCACAATGAGCCGTGCTGAGGGCGCAAGGGAGCTCAAGAAGATGGTTATCTTTTCCAACCTTACCGTCTCCCAACTGCTCGACGACATCCGAGGCAAGACCGACGAGCCTGCCGCCAAGCCTGCAGGCTCGGCAGCCACCGGCGAAGGCTCGGGCCCTGCAGTGACAGCTGAGGCGGATAAGGAGGAGAAGGAGGCAGAGGAGGAGTATGATGACGATATGCCGCTGCTGCAGTCCATGAGGAAGACCAAGGGGAAGCAGAAGGAGGGCAAGGCACAGAAGGAAGTGTCTGTGAAGGAGGACTTAGATCTCAGGGAACGACTGGACCTATACAAGTCGTTCCTGCTGTTCTGCCTGCAAGGGGATACCACCGGCATGCCCATGGGAACCAGCCTCACTGTCCAGAGGGACACTTCGGATTTTATCCGCCTGTCCCAGCTGGGGGATATTCTCGGGTTGACTCCTCAGGAGGTGTCTTCTGTGCATCAGGGGCTGGCGGAGCAGGCGTTTAAGGTTCAAGCACAGACACTGCTGGCTGATGGGCAGCTTACTAAGGCTCGTGCAGAGCAGCTTAAGATCATGCAGCGGGAACTGGGTCTCCCGGACGCTGCTGCGCAGAAGGTGGTGCAGTCTATAACGAGTACGAAGATGGCGGGCGCGATCGACGCGGCGATCAAGGCCGGGCGGCTGAGCGTGGACGAAGTGAAGCAGCTCAAGGAGTCCGGCGTGGATATCGGCAGTATGGTGGCGGAAAAAGTCCGCCTGCAGATGTATACCAAGCTGGTGCAGAAGGAGTTTGACAAGGGCACGGGGGAGTTTGATGAGAAGGAGCTGCTGGAGAAGCTGCCGGGGGATCTGGGGTTAGATGAGGAAGTGGCGAGGAAAACGGTCAAGGAGATCGCGAGGGAGCGGCTCAAGGGGTCGCTTGTGCTGGCCGTGTCAAACCTCCGACAGAAGAAGCCCGACCTAGTGGTGCGTGCTTGGGGGTAGTGGGATGGGGAATGGTGGGATGGGGGGTGGTTGGATGGGGGGTGGTGGGATGGGGGGTGGTGAGATGGGGGGTGGTTGAATGGGGGTGGAGGGATGGGGGCTATCCAATTGCCCTTGTGTCTCATTTACATTGCTTGATTGGCACCTGTCTCCCCATCCCATCTCCCAGTTTGTTGTGCCGAACAATATGCTGGCGACCAGGCAGTCGTCAGGCAGTGTGTTTGGCGTCCCCTTCAACGCACCCTTCCCTTCGCCCCCCTTCCTCCTCCCCACCAACCCTCTCACCTCCCAGGTGGCTGTGCTGAACAACATGCTGGCGTGTGACAAGGCAGACTCGGCAACAGAGGCACTGAAATGGACAGTAAAGGAGGAGCTGCTGGATCTCTACTCGCTCTTCCTCAGCAAGCACGACGCGCAGAGCAGCGCTGCAGGGCGCATGCGGGAGCTCCTTGGAATTGATGATCAGACGGCTGCCTCGCTCTCGGAGATTGTGTCCAAGGGAGGGTTCAATCTGGATCTGGACTCTTCTGTGGAGGAGAACTTTGTGTTTTAGACTGGGATGGGATTTGTTTAGAGTATGTGCAATGGGCTGGTTGTGAAACGCATGCACTAGAACTGGTGGTGGAGAATATTAACACAAGTGGTACAGGTTATAACTAGTAGTTCAAATCTCCACTGGTCAATAGGTTACTATCATAGGAATAGATTTAAGAGTTGTAATGTGCGTATGTCTACCTCGCTCTGTAGGAGGATAACATCGAGTACAACGCTGCGAAATTGCGCGGGGCGGCGTAACCCCCAACTCTCTGTCGAGCCGCATGGCGGCGGCGCATGGAGACTCAAAGGAGCCTCTCCGAAACGAACTCGTCAATCCCACGATTGTAGGCTTGCCCCAACGAAACAAAGTTGTGTGTCCTCCTGTCCATTATCCTGGGTTATCCACTGAGCACCCCCGGCGCAATGGCTCCTCCACAGGCCTCCCCCCGCGGCTGCTGCTCAGGCTACCATCACACCGCACTGGTGCTCGCGCTTCTACTGCTGCTAGCTCCGCCGCGGGGAACGAATGCGGCGTCGCGCGTCGTCATTGCGCCGATGCGCGGTTCGGACGACCGCGTGGAGGTGTTCAATCTGTCGGAGAACCTCTGGTTCGCGGGAACCGCGCAGCTTCCACCGTTTGACGACGCTGGCGACGGTGGAGCCTCCACTGACGGAGATAGCAGCGGAAACCACGGGAACCGTGATGACAGCACCGGCGGTGACTTTTCGGGGGATGTGAACGCCGAAATGGACAACAGCGGAGGCGATTTGAGCGTGGGATTCACAGATGACCCGCGCGACTCCATTGAGTCGCGCAAGGAGGAGCTGCTTGCGCGGATCCGCGGTGGTGGAATCGATGAGAAGACCCGCGAGGCGCTGGTGGAAGCTGCAAACGGCGGCGGCGCGCGAGGGAGCTCCACGACTGCGCCCGCCGCAGCCCCCGCGAGCGCGCCGGCTCCCGCTGTGGATCCACTGGAGCAACAGATGGTAGGCGCGCGCGTCACGACTGGTGCTCTGCCAGTTGAGGTTCAGGTTCTGTTTCAGGCTCAGGGCGCGATTGCGCCGGGAAATAGTATCTCTTTTCCCTCTCCATCACAAAAATGTCCGAAGACACATTTGGGTCAATACTGGGATTTGACGAAAGTGTCTTGCCTCCCAAATGTGTCCCAAAAACCTGACCCAGATGACTCTTAGTACTACCGGACATTTTTGGGTTTGAGATGGGTCTTCTCGCCAATGTACGGTAGATTTTAAGAAAGTAAGAAAACTCATCTCAGTGCATTTTTCCTCGGAAGTTTCGTCATGGCGAGGGGGCTAAAACTAGTCGCTGCGTGAGTAGTAACCTCAGCTCCATTATTGAGCCTGTCCCCCAGTCCGCGATTTTTTCCCTGTAGTGTCGGCAAGAACTCCTCATCCGTCATGACGCGGGCAGGCATAGCGCAACGCCGTGAACGGACATTGACCCTATAGTTGGGTTAGCGCACCCTTAACGTAGGGCCTTTCTCTTCGTACTTCAGACATAGTTTCTTGTTTCTGGTGGCTGCTGAACACTGCCCTACCAAACCTGTCAACTGCGGTTGCTTGGCCGAAAGCTGATGAGTTGCGCTGCGCTCTTTCGAGCCACACGCCTCCCAAGGAGAGATTTCTTTCCGCTTTCCCCAAAACAGGAGCAGCGATCGGAGGAGGTTGGGGAATTTTCGGCGCGCACGACGGAGCTGAAACAAGTGGTGAAGCGGAAACCGGCGGTTGGCTTTCCCGGTATAAGCCAGTACAGCGAAGTGAACAGTGGTACACCGCCTAATTACAACAATACAGTGGTAAGAAACGTGTTCGATTTCACGGTGCCGATTTGTGCACGAACACTATTTTCTTTGGTTTGCAGCATCTCCATCACACTAACTATGTGTCTTGTTATGTTTCAGGTCCGTGTTACCCCTCCTGATGTTGCTCTTTGTGTGGGTAATGGATACATCCTTCACACTGTCAACATTGGTAAGCCTTGCTTTCGACTGCTTCCCCTCTCATACACTGCCCCTCCATTACTTTTTACCGCTTTCACCTCTCTCACCCACTCCCTTTTCCCCCCCACCCACTCCCTCTACCCCTCCTCGTCTCCCCCTTGGCAGCGATGGTTTGTGTATGACAAGCAAGGGAAGCAGCTCACTCGCATCATCACACACAACGAGGCAAGTGCGCGCACACAACACAATCATGGTCACTCGCATAGAAAACGTCACTACAGACATATGCACATTCTCATATGCACATTCTCATATGCACATTCTCATATGCACGTTTTCATATGCATGTTCTCATATGCACATTCTCATATGCACGTTTTCATATGCATGTTCTCATATGCACATTCTCATATTCACGTTTTCATATGCACATTTTCTTAAGCACATTCTCTTATGCACATTCTCATATTCACGTTTTCATATGCACGTTTTCATATGCACATTCTCTTATGCACATTCTCATAAGCACATTCTCATATGCACATTCTCATATGCACATTCTCATATGCACATTCTCATGTGCACATTCTCATGTGCACATTCTCTTATGCACATTCTCATGTGCACATTCTCTTATGCACATTCTCTTATGCACATTCTCATATGCACATTCTCTTTTGCACATTCTCATATGCACATTCTCATATGCACATTCTCATATGCACATTCTCTTGCACCTCCACATGCTCTAAGATACCATGTTTTGTGTCCCCCTTTCTCTTCCTCACGTCCTCTCTCCCATTCTCACCATCGATGCCAAAACGCGTGCCTCTTGTCAATCTCTCTCTCTCTCTCTCTCTCTCTCTCTCTCTCTCTCTCTCTCTCTCTCTCTCTCTCTCTCTCTCTCTCTCTCTCTCTCTCTCTCTCTCTCTCTCGCTGCCTTTCTCCCCAGCCTCACACCACACTCCACTCCTCAGTGTCAGTTCGTCAGCTGCTGCCATCGGCAATCCACTACTAAACCAACACCGTCCCACCATCCGCCCTCCTTCCACGACTCTCATGCCAGTTCTTTGGGGTCCTGCCATCAGTCGTGGAGACGAGGGACCCGTTCAACACATCAGTGTTTGGAGACAGCATCGGCGACATGACATGCACATATGACCGCCAGGCTCGGCGCTTCTACCTCTCCACCTACTGGGCTGTGAGTTCTGAGCCTGCCGAGCCGTCGAGGCGCCTCAAAGGTCTCTCGTTCCCCGGAAGTTTTTAGGCGCCTTTTTAGGCGCTTCTACCTCTAGGCGCCTTAAAAGGCGCTTCTACCTCTAGGCGCCTAATAAGGCGCTTCTACCTCTCCACCTACTGGACTGTAAGTGCTGAGCATGCCAAGCCATTGCCTTTTTAGGCGCCTCAATATGTTGCTTCCCACTCCTCATCTATTCCAGCTCAAGTTGTTACATGGCTCCTTAGTTGCTGTCCCACACACGCGGAGTCTACCTTCACTCTCTTTAGAAAACCCCATTGATTTCACTCACTATCTACACGTTACTTCCCCCCTGCCTGCACCTCCCATTCCCCCTTCACCAGGATTCCATGTTTCAATAAATCAATTCTCCGAGATGCTTGACAACTACTATGGTTCTTGCATATAGTGAGTGTTTTGAAAGTAGTGCATATAGTGAGTGTATTGAAAGTAGTGCATATAGTGAATGTATTGAAAGTAGTGCATATAGTGAGTGTATTGAAAGTAGTGCATATAGTGAGTGTATTGAAAGTAGTGCATATAGTGAGTGTATTGAAAGTTGTGCATATAGTGAGTTTATTGCAAATAGTTCCTATAGTGAGTGTATTGCAAGTAGTGCATATAGTGAGTTTATTGCAAATAGTTCATATAGTGAGTGTAGATAGTGCATACAGTGAGTGTATTGTTTCTCGAGCGCACCTCAAACACAACGGGAATTTGAGGGTGGGCTATGCATTGTTGGCCCTCGACCTTTTCCCCGCCATTGCTTATGCTCACGGCACTCTCAACGCTCCCAAGGTCCAACCATGCCTGACCTGACTCATAGCACGCACGTGGCTGACTCATAGCACGCACGTGGCTGACTCATAGCACGCACGTGGCTGACTCATAGCACGCACGTGGCTGACTCATAGCACGCACGTGGCTGACTCATAGCACGCACGTGGCTGACTCATAGCACGCACGTGGCTGACTCATAGCACGCACGTGGCTGACTCATAGCACGCACGTGGCTGACTCATAGCACGCACGTGGCTGACTCATAGCACGCACGTGGCTGACTCATAGCACGCACGTGGCTGACTCATAGCACGCACGTGGCTGACTCATAGCACGCACGTGGCTGACTCATAGCACGCACGTGGCTGACTCATAGCACGCACGTGGCTGACTCATAGCACGCACGTGGCTGACTCATAGCACGCACGTGGCTGACTCATAGCACGCACGTGGCTGACTCATAGCACGCACGTGGCTGACTCATAGCACGCACGTGGCTGACTCATAGCACGCACGTGGCTGACTCATAGCACGCACGTGGCTGACTCATAGCACGCACGTGGCTGACTCATAGCACGCACGTGGCTGACTCATAGCACGCACGTGGCTGACTCATAGCACGCACGTGGCTGACTCATAGCACGCACGTGGCTGACTCATAGCACGCACGTGGCTGACTCATAGCACGCACGTGGCTGACTCATAGCACGCACGTGGCTGACTCATAGCACGCACGTGGCTGACTCATAGCACGCACGTGGCTGACTCATAGCACGCACGTGGCTGACTCATAGCACGCACGTGGCTGACTCATAGCACGCACGTGGCTGACTCATAGCACGCACGTGGCTGACTCATAGCACGCACGTGGCTGACTCATAGCACGCACGTGGCTGACTCATAGCACGCACGTGGCTGACTCATAGCACGCACGTGGCTGACTCATAGCACGCACGTGGCTGACTCATAGCACGCACGTGGCTGACTCATAGCACGCACGTGGCTGACTCATAGCACGCACGTGGCTGACTCATAGCACGCACGTGGCTGACTCATAGCACGCACGTGGCTGACTCATAGCACGCACGTGGCTGACTCATAGCACGCACGTGGCTGACTCATAGCACGCACGTGGCTGACTCATAGCACGCACGTGGCTGACTCATAGCACGCACGTGGCTGACTCATAGCACGCACGTGGCTGACTCATAGCACGCACGTGGCTGACTCATAGCACGCACGTGGCTGACTCATAGCACGCACGTGGCTGACTCATAGCACGCACGTGGCTGACTCATAGCACGCACGTGGCTGACTCATAGCACGCACGTGGCTGACTCATAGCACGCACGTGGCTGACTCATAGCACGCACGTGGCTGACTCATAGCACGCACGTGGCTGACTCATAGCACGCACGTGGCTGACTCATAGCACGCACGTGGCTGACTCATAGCACGCACGTGGCTGACTCATAGCACGCACGTGGCTGACTCATAGCACGCACGTGGCTGACTCATAGCACGCACGTGGCTGACTCATAGCACGCACGTGGCTGACTCATAGCACGCACGTGGCTGACTCATAGCACGCACGTGGCTGACTCATAGCACGCACGTGGCTGACTCATAGCACGCACGTGGCTGACTCATAGCACGCACGTGGCTGACTCATAGCACGCACGTGGCTGACTCATAGCACGCACGTGGCTGACTCATAGCACGCACGTGGCTGACTCATAGCACGCACGTGGCTGACTCATAGCACGCACGTGGCTGACTCATAGCACGCACGTGGCTGACTCATAGCACGCACGTGGCTGACTCATAGCACGCACGTGGCTGACTCATAGCACGCACGTGGCTGACTCATAGCACGCACGTGGCTGACTCATAGCACGCACGTGGCTGACTCATAGCACGCACGTGGCTGACTCATAGCACGCACGTGGCTGACTCATAGCACGCACGTGGCTGACTCATAGCACGCACGTGGCTGACTCATAGCACGCACGTGGCTGACTCATAGCACGCACGTGGCTGACTCATAGCACGCACGTGGCTGACTCATAGCACGCACGTGGCTGACTCATAGCACGCACGTGGCTGACTCATAGCACGCACGTGGCTGACTCATAGCACGCACGTGGCTGACTCATAGCACGCACGTGGCTGACTCATAGCACGCACGTGGCTGACTCATAGCACGCACGTGGCTGACTCATAGCACGCACGTGGCTGACTCATAGCACGCACGTGGCTGACTCATAGCACGCACGTGGCTGACTCATAGCACGCACGTGGCTGACTCATAGCACGCACGTGGCTGACTCATAGCACGCACGTGGCTGACTCATAGCACGCACGTGGCTGACTCATAGCACGCACGTGGCTGACTCATAGCACGCACGTGGCTGACTCATAGCACGCACGTGGCTGACTCATAGCACGCACGTGGCTGACTCATAGCACGCACGTGGCTGACTCATAGCACGCACGTGGCTGACTCATAGCACGCACGTGGCTGACTCATAGCACGCACGTGGCTGACTCATAGCACGCACGTGGCTGACTCATAGCACGCACGTGGCTGACTCATAGCACGCACGTGGCTGACTCATAGCACGCACGTGGCTGACTCATAGCACGCACGTGGCTGACTCATAGCACGCACGTGGCTGACTCATAGCACGCACGTGGCTGACTCATAGCACGCACGTGGCTGACTCATAGCACGCACGTGGCTGACTCATAGCACGCACGTGGCTGACTCATAGCACGCACGTGGCTGACTCATAGCACGCACGTGGCTGACTCATAGCACGCACGTGGCTGACTCATAGCACGCACGTGGCTGACTCATAGCACGCACGTGGCTGACTCATAGCACGCACGTGGCTGACTCATAGCACGCACGTGGCTGACTCATAGCACGCACGTGGCTGACTCATAGCACGCACGTGGCTGACTCATAGCACGCACGTGGCTGACTCATAGCACGCACGTGGCTGACTCATAGCACGCACGTGGCTGACTCATAGCACGCACGTGGCTGACTCATAGCACGCACGTGGCTGACTCATAGCACGCACGTGGCTGACTCATAGCACGCACGTGGCTGACTCATAGCACGCACGTGGCTGACTCATAGCACGCACGTGGCTGACTCATAGCACGCACGTGGCTGACTCATAGCACGCACGTGGCTGACTCATAGCACGCACGTGGCTGACTCATAGCACGCACGTGGCTGACTCATAGCACGCACGTGGCTGACTCATAGCACGCACGTGGCTGACTCATAGCACGCACGTGGCTGACTCATAGCACGCACGTGGCTGACTCATAGCACGCACGTGGCTGACTCATAGCACGCACGTGGCTGACTCATAGCACGCACGTGGCTGACTCATAGCACGCACGTGGCTGACTCATAGCACGCACGTGGCTGACTCATAGCACGCACGTGGCTGACTCATAGCACGCACGTGGCTGACTCATAGCACGCACGTGGCTGACTCATAGCACGCACGTGGCTGACTCATAGCACGCACGTGGCTGACTCATAGCACGCACGTGGCTGACTCATAGCACGCACGTGGCTGACTCATAGCACGCACGTGGCTGACTCATAGCACGCACGTGGCTGACTCATAGCACGCACGTGGCTGACTCATAGCACGCACGTGGCTGACTCATAGCACGCACGTGGCTGACTCATAGCACGCACGTGGCTGACTCATAGCACGCACGTGGCTGACTCATAGCACGCACGTGGCTGACTCATAGCACGCACGTGGCTGACTCATAGCACGCACGTGGCTGACTCATAGCACGCACGTGGCTGACTCATAGCACGCACGTGGCTGACTCATAGCACGCACGTGGCTGACTCATAGCACGCACGTGGCTGACTCATAGCACGCACGTGGCTGACTCATAGCACGCACGTGGCTGACTCATAGCACGCACGTGGCTGACTCATAGCACGCACGTGGCTGACTCATAGCACGCACGTGGCTGACTCATAGCACGCACGTGGCTGACTCATAGCACGCACGTGGCTGACTCATAGCACGCACGTGGCTGACTCATAGCACGCACGTGGCTGACTCATAGCACGCACGTGGCTGACTCATAGCACGCACGTGGCTGACTCATAGCACGCACGTGGCTGATTTGACGTGTAGGCACACATGCACGCAAGCACACATGCACGCAAGCACACATGCACGCAAGCACACATGCACGCAAGCACGCAAGCACACATGCACGCAAGCACACTTGCACGCATGCACACCTGCACGCATGCACACATGCACGCATGCACCCATGCACGCATGCACCCATGCACGCATGCACCCATGCACGCATGCACCCATGCACACATGCATCCATGCACACATGCACCCATGCACACATGCACCCGTGCACACATGCACCCATGCACACATGCATGCACCCATGCACACATGCATGCACCCATGCACACATTCACCCATGCACCCATGCACTTCCACGTCTGTAAGCTCCGCTGACATCCTCTCCCATTCTATTCCCCAACATCATACCCCCCCCCCCCCCCCACATCATCTTCCTCCCAATCCGCCTCTTCCCTCTCCTTCCCCTCCCACTCCTGCTCTCTCCCATCCCCTCCTGCACCTTCTCTTCCCCGACCTCCTCCGCTGCCAGTGCAATCGCCAAGTCCCAGCTCCAAAGGACAGAGAATGCCACCATTCTCCGCTTCGTCATCCCTTACACTGAGAGCCTTACCAATCCGGCCTACACCATTTACCCTCAGAAGGTCGCTGCAGATGGTGACTACGACTACCACCACGGACGGCGGCACCATGTATTTCGGCTGGACGGGAGTTAACAGCAATCCTGGCACTGCGAACGAAACCGTTCTTGTCGCAAACTTTACCACAGTGGGAGCCTTTGCTATAACGGGAACAAGTGCTCTGGGTACATCAGAAGCGGAGAGCTTGGTGGAGGCACACTGTGCCGCCGTCAACACTCCCCCGTACTTTTTTCCCCTGCCTGTGGAGCAGAAACCCGGGCCAGTTCCTTTGGCTTGGAAGATGAACAAGACGATCACACCCATCGGCCCTTCAACTGTAGATGCGCGGAGTGTGGTGGTATTCCCAAGGAAGAGGCAGATGTGGGTTAGTTTTATGTCGGCCTTCGGAAAGGAGATGAGTGCGTCTGCTGTGGTCGTGAGGCTCCGCTTGTCCCTCAGGCCCAAGCGCAAGTGGCGACCGTTCCGGGTGTTTTTGGAGCGGTTCAAAGTGGTGGGAGTGGGCGGAGGTAACAGCCTCATTCAGCCCACCGTCGCTCTCAACAGGTGAGAAAGAGGGGAAGGGTTGATGGAGGGGCAAGGGGGAACAGAGGAGGGGGGAAGGGGGAGGGGCAGGGAAGAGAGAGTGGGGGAAGGGGTGGGAAGGGCAGTGGGGGAGAGAACAACACTGGGAGAGACGAGAATGTTACCCTCTTGGGTGATTCTTCATGCGTTTCCCTCAACATGATGGTGTGCTCGAGCACTTGATATGCAGCATGCTTGCTGTATGCTCTATGCAAGTGCTCCCTTTAAAACACAGCAGGAGAATCACGAGCACTTGGCATGCAGCATGCTGCATTCAGCTCAAGCGCGCCCCTTACATCAGCAGGAGAATCACAGCAGCATCAAACCTGTCTTCTTCCTCCCAACACTCTATCTTTGCCCATCCCCTCACTCTCTCTTTGGCCGTCCCCTCACTCCCCTCCCCAGCTATGGTAAGGGCATCAGCGCTATCACTGGTAGGTCCTTCCTTCTTTCCACCTCCTCCTCTGCTGATTTTCCTTCACCTCTCTCTCCCGCCGTCTCCTCACCCCCCTCCCCTCCGCAGGCCAGGCGTGAGCTTCATAGCAGTGTCGCTGGCAGGGCGTTCCTTCTACCCCTCACTCCACTCGCTCCACTCGCTCCACTCGCTCCACTCACTCCACTCACTCCACTCACTCCCCTCACTCCCCTCACTCCCCTCACTAACCTCATTCCTCGCACACCCCTCCCCAGGCACGGCGTGGGCATCATAGCAGCGTCACTGGCAGGGCGATCCTTCTACCCCTCAGCTGCCTATGGCACTCTCAACGCCAATGTGGATATCGGCCGCGGGGTCGTTACTGGCCCGGGGAAGGCGCCTCTCGACGACTACTCTGGTGAGTCTGCTGCTGTTCCTGCTGCTGCTGCTGCTGCTTGTAAATCTTTTAGCGCCTAAAATAATCCCGTCTCTCCTCTCTCCCACCCCTCAGGGCGACTACATGACAGCAACGATTGACGAGGAGGGCAACGCGTGGGCGGCAGTGCAGTATGTGCTGGGGCAGCCACGCACCGAGTGGAGCAACTGGGCTACCTTCGTCTTCAAAGTCGACCTGCAGGGGGGGGAGGACGGGGGGAATGGGGGGGATGGGGACGGGGGGAACGGGGACAGCGGAGGAAATGGGGATAATGGGGGGAATGGGGATAACGGGGGGGATGGTGATAACGGGGGGAATGGTGATAATGGGGGGAATGGGGATAACGGGGGGAATGGGGACAATGGGGGTCACGAGAGGAAGTAGGAAAGCAGGGGGAAGAGGGAGAGTGGGTGGGGAGGGGGATGGGGGAAGAATGGGGGGAATGGGAATACGGGGGGAACAGCAGGGGTGGTAGGGGATAATGGTGGAGGGAGGGAGGAAGTAAGGGGAAGGGGAGAATGGTGGGAAGGGGAATAAGAATTGAAGGGGGAAAACATCTAAAGAAGGAGGGTGAGAGAGAGCAGGGAGGAAGAGAGAGGGCAGGGAGGGTTTGAGAGGAGGTGCTTTTTATTGGAAATTGTGTGGGCAACAGGGCAAGTGATGGTACTGGGGCATGGGTAGTGGTAGTGGCAGTGGCGGCAGCAGCAGCAGCAGCAGTGGCAGCAGCAGCAGTAGCAGCAGCAGCAGCAGCAGCAGCAGCAGCAGCAGCAGCAGCAGCAGCAGCAGCAGCAGCAGCAGCAGCAGCAGCAGCAGTGGTGGAAGTGGTGGCAATGACGCCAGTGGGGGCATGGCTGGCAGTGGTGGTAGTGGCTGTGGGGATGGGAGCATGGGCAAGTGCATTGCAGCAGTCATGTGTTGCTCCCTCAGCAGCACCGACCGTGTCCCTGCACCTCCTGCACCTCATCAGACCATCACATGGTGTCTCACTTGCATGTGTTGTGTTGCGTAGTGTTGTTTGTGTTGCTCCCGGAGATAGTTCAGGCACCAACTATCTCCAGGCAACTCTTGCATAGTTCGTGCTGACGTCATTGCCACCACTGCGACCATTGGATTGGTTGCAAGGTGACTGTTGAATCATGCAAGGTTACATACAATCACGTCGCGTCACATGACATGGCATGCCATGCCACTTGGTCTTTCATGCCGCTGAATCCCTGCATTACTACCTATCGTCCAATGTTGCGTGCTCTTGCTCATACTACCGTATCAATGTGCTCACTTCAGATGCAATCTTTTCAGTCGACTCAACAGTCACCTTGCTTGCAACCAATCCACTAGCAGCAGTGCAACAAGGTTCCCAAATTCCCATCCGTAGCAATCACAACTGCTACACCTCACAATTATGGTATGGGTGGAGCGCAATTGCAACAACAGGTCTCAAACAGGCTCTGGGATCGCAAACTCTGTATGCTGAGCCATCTTTTGTACACTGTTCAGCACAATACTACAGTTTTATGCAGCAAATGGTGCTGCTTCAAGATAGGTAGTATAGCCTAGCAACATCTGATTCTCAGCCTGCCCAATAACCAACCCTAGAGCCAGGTATCAAAGCAGTCACGTGATTACCATAAGCATCACACTGAGCACAGGGACACCTCGGGGATTGACGTGTCCCCCTCTTGCTCCCATCCCAGTCGGTCCTCGGTATTCTCAGCATGTGTAGTGCTGCACTACAGTCTTGTCTTGACACCATGCTCACTCCAGCCTGTGCCCTCACCCAGCTTTCCCAAGCATGTATTGTACAGTTTTCAACACATTACAGCAATACAATCCCTGAAATGTGTTGCAATGCAATCAAAGTTAACCCCTGGAAATGCAAGTGCTGTACTGCAGTCATGCATGTGGCTCCCTGCTCTCTCCAGCCCGTGCCCTCAGCTCGGCCCTTCCAGGCATGTATTGTGCAGCAATACAATCCCAATCACAGTTGCATTGCATCCTGAAAATGCAAGTGCTGCAAGTGCAGTCATGTGTGTGGTGGTGTCATGCTTTCTCCGGCCCATGTCCTCAGCTCTCCCAATGCAAATCCCGCGTGATGAGGCGATTTTTTGCTCGACTCAAAAAACGCCTGAACGCCCTCCCAGTATGGACTGCACGGCAATCCAACCCCAACCATTGCGGGACCTTCACAATCAAACCCACCCCAGTTGCTCCCAGTGTACCCCCCTTGCTCTCGATTTTTGAGTCGACTCAAAAATTGCTCCCAGTGTACCCCCCTTGCTCTCTACCACACGTGCTGCACTGCAGTCGTTGACATGATCTTTGAGGCACGTCAAAAGTCATGCCCGTGCCTCCACACTCTCACTGGCCCATGCCTTTGCCAAAACAGCAGCCACAGAGCGACCGTAAAGGAGCACTCCAGTTGCTCCAGTAGGTTCTGGGCCTCCCCGGCACACACTTCACCGCACAGCACCCCTGATGCTGCCTTCTGAACCCGTCTAGAGCGTTTACAGAGAGGCCTTAAAGATGGAAGTACCCCAGTTGCTCCCGTGTGTTCTCACCCTTCCGGGCACATACTGCACTGCACCGCACAGCACCCCTGATGGTACCATCTGAACCCAACAAGAACATTACAGTGAGACCTTGAAGATGTTAGTAGCCCAGTCGCTCCAGTGGGTTCTGGGCCTCCCCGGCACATACTGCACCGCACAGCACCCCTGGCGGTGCCTTGAACCGGCCAAGAACAACAATCACAGAGGGACCTTGAAGATATAGGTAGCCCAGTTGCTCCAGTGGGTTCTGGGCCTCCCCGGCACATACTGCACGGCGCCCCATGCGTTCCCCTGCTCATCTATGCCTGCTGTCATGTAGTCGCCGTACCGCACTGCTTCAGCAAACCCCATGTACCCTGGGATGGGGGAAGGGGGGGAAGGAAGGGAAGGAGAGTGGACAGCTGCAGGAGAAGAGCTCTAGGCATTCCCCTGCTCGTCATTGCCTGCTGTCATGTAGTCGCCGTACCGCACTGCTTCAGCAAACCCCATGTACCCTGGGATGGGGGAAGGGGGGGAAGGAAGGGAAGGAGAGTGGACAGCTGCAGGAGAAGAGCTCTAGGCATTCCCCTGCTCGTCATTGCCTGCTGTCATGTAGTCGCCGTACCGCACTGCTTCAGCAAACCCCATGTACCCTGGGATGGGGGAAGGGGGGGAAGGAAGGGAAGGAGAGTGGACAGCTGCAGGAGAAGAGCTCTAGGCATTCCCCTGCTCGTCATTGCCTGCTGTCATGTAGTCGCCGTACCGCACTGCTTCAGCAAACCCCATGTACCCTGGGATGGGGGAAGGGGGGGAAGGAAGGGAAGGAGAGTGGACAGCTGCAGGAGAAGAGCTCTAGGCATTCCCCTGCTCGTCATTGCCTGCTGTCATGTAGTCTCCGTACCGCACTGCTTCAGCAAACCCCATGTACCCTGGGATGGGGGAAGGGGGGGAAGGAAGGGAAGGAGAGTGGACAGCTGCAGGAGAAGAGCTCTAGGCATTCCCCTGCTCGTCATTGCCTGCTGTCATGTAGTCGCCGTACCGCACTGCTTCAGCAAACCCCATGTACCCTGGGATGGGGGAAGGGGGGGAAGGAAGGGAAGGAGAGTGGACAGCTGCAGGAGAAGAGCTCTATGCATTCCCCTGCTCGTCATTGCCTGCTGTCATGTAGTCGCCGTACCGCACTGCTTCAGCAAACCCCATGTACCCTGGGATGGGGGAAGGGGGGGAAGGAAGGGAAGGAGAGTGGACAGCTGCAGGAGAAGAGCTCTATGCATTCCCCTGCTCGTCATTGCCTGCTGTCATGTAGTCGCCGTACCGCACTGCTTCAGCAAACCCCATGTACCCTGGGATGGGGGAAGGGGGGGAAGGAAGGGAAGGAGAGTGGACAGCTGCAGGAGAAGAGCTCTAGGCATTCCCCTGCTCGTCATTGCCTGCTGTCATGTAGTCGCCGTACCGCACTGCTTCAGCAAACCCCATGTACCCTGGGATGGGGGAAGGGGGGGAAGGAAGGGAAGGAGAGTGGACAGCTGCAGGAGAAGAGCTCTAGGCATTCCCCTGCTCGTCATTGCCTGCTGTCATGTAGTCGCCGTACCGCACTGCTTCAGCAAACCCCATGTACCCTGGGATGGGGGAAGGGGGGGAAGGAAGGGAAGGAGAGTGGACAGCTGCAGGAGAAGAGCTCTATGCATTCCCCTGCTCGTCATTGCCTGCTGTCATGTAGTCGCCGTACCGCACTGCTTCAGCAAACCCCATGTACCCTGGGATGGGGGAAGGGGGGGAAGGAAGGGAAGGAGAGTGGACAGCTGCAGGAGAAGAGCTCTATGCATTCCCCTGCTCGTCATTGCCTGCTGTCATGTAGTCGCCGTACCGCACTGCTTCAGCAAACCCCATGTACCCTGGGAGAGGGAGAGAGGGGGAGAGGGGGGGGAGGGTGGGGAGGGGGCGGGTGGGAGAGGAGGAGGAAGAGGGGAGTGGATGCGTGGCGTGGGATTTGGAGAAAACGAGCCCCATGCACCGCACCTCACTGCACCTCACTGCACCTCACTGCACCTCACCGCACCTCACTGCACCTCACCGCACCTCACTGCACCTCACTGCACCTCACTGCTCTGCTCGTCTATGCCTCAGGGCAACCTCACCTCACCACACCTCACTGCTGCAGCGCACTGCTTCAGCGAACCCCATGCAGCCAGGGGGGTGGGGGAAGGGGAAGGGGAGGGTGGGGGAGGAGGAGGATGGGAGGGGACGGTTTGAGGAAACGAGCCCCTTTGCCCTCCACAAGGGGGGAAACGGTATGCCCCTTCCATCAAGTGATTGATTAGGCGCTTCCCATGCAGCCACTCAGTCCGGTGATTTCTTATCTTTCCGGGCAGCCAGAAATGTTTCTGGATGACCGTAAACGTAAAGCCGTTTTGGGCCCACGTAAGTGAGCGTAAGTTTACTACGTAAAGTCACGTACATGTAAACCCCCCGTAAACGTAAAATGCCAACTAAGGTAGGAACCACCAAAGCTTCTCCTGCTCAAGCCACATCTGGTTTTTGAGAATTCTCAAAAACCACCAAAGCTTCTCCTGCTCAAGCCACATCTGGTTTTTGAGAATTCTCAAAAACCACCAAAGCTTCTCCTGCTCAAGCCACATCTCTCACTCACCCGAGTAATCATCCAATGCTGCCCCGCCAGCAGCAGCCACCACCACATCCCCCGCCGCTGTCTCTCCATTCACAGTGGCATACGCAGCAGAGGGGAAATACGACGGTCCTGCCAGCGACACAGCCATGATCCCCTTCCCACGCCTGTTCAGCGCTATACTTGGCTGGATCAACGCGTTCCCCTTCACCCCAACCGCTCTGAACCGCTCTAGAAACACCCGAAACGGCTGCCATCTCCTTGTCGGAACCAGCAACATGCGCAGGCGTGCTATCACAACGTAAGGCCCCTCGACCTGGGATGTGTATGTGCCTGTCATAAAGGTAAGCCACATCTGTTTTTTCACAGGTGCCACTACCACTCCTCTAACGTCTGTGCTTGATGGGTCTATAGGCTTAATCGTTGTCCCATATTCCCATGCCAAAGGGACGGGGCTCCAATTTTGAGTCACGTAGCTCGTAGCGAAAAATTCCGGGCAGGTGATGGCGGAGTAGAAGGTTTGTATGCGGGAGAGGGCCTGTTTTGTGCCCAGGAAGCTTGTCCCCGTTATAAGCAGCGCCCCGATTCTGTTTAAGACGGAGGTTGTGAAGGTCTGTGGGTCTTGGTTGTATCCGAAATACATCGTGCCGCCGTTGGTGTAGTCGAATGGTGTATCCGCTGCTACTTTTTGCGGCCAAACGGTGTAGTCGGGAACGGAAGGGTTGTCGCTAGTGGGGATGGCTATACGGAGGATGAAAGTGTTGATGGGGCGAGACAGCTGTACTTTGGATATAGCACTGGGGGATGGAGGCGAGGGGAAGGGGTGGAGGAAAGGGGGGATGGGGGGATGGGGGGTGTGAGGGGCAGAGAGTGATTGGCATGGGTGGAAGACAAGCTTACACTCTGGTGAAACAACGAGACACGGGGTTGAGCGGTTGAATGAGGTTGAAAGCGGTTGAAAGCAGATGATAGCGGTTGAAAGGGGTCGAGAGCAGTAAGATGTGGTTGCACTCACAAGATGCTGACTCCAAAGTAACCGTCATCCTCGTATGAGAAGTGGTTTGCTGACACATAGAAACCTGCATTGCATGGTCATGCATGGTCATGCATTGTCATGCATGGTCATGCATGGATGCATGTAGGAGGCATGGGTACACACATAGGCATGTTACATGTATGTATGTCATGAATGCAGGTATGGTAGGCAGGTACGTAATGCAGGTGTGGAATGCAGGCATAGTTTCCAGGTTTGGTATGTCACATGAGCCAAGCACTTTATCCACCCTACTGGACCCACGCCACACCGCACTTGGCCAATGCAAAAAGCGCACCAGAGCACAGCACCGCACCACACCTCTGCATCTTACCGTATCCGTCTGTGCCTATCTGAGGGTAGTCCACTGCATTACAGTGGGAGATGAAGGGGCGCAGATGGGGAGGGAAGAGGGGCAGGTTGCAGAGGAGGCAACGGGGGAAGAAGGGGGAACAGAGTGGGGAGAAGGGGGAACAGAATGGGGAGAAGGGGGAACAGAATGGGGAGAAGGGGGAACAGAATGGGGAGAAGGGGGAACAGAATGGGGAGAAGGGGGAACAGAATGGGGAGAAGGGGGAACAGAATGGGGAGAAGGGGGAACAGAATGGGGAGAAGGGGGAACAGAATGGGGAGAAGGGGGAACAGAATGGGGAGAAGGGGGAACAGAATGGGGAGAAGGGGGAACAGAATGGGGAGAAGGGGGAACAGAATGGGGAGAAGGGGGAACAGAATGGGGAGAAGGGGGAACAGAATGGGGAGAAGGGGGAACAGAATGGGGAGAAGGGGGAACAGAATGGGGAGAAGGGGGAACAGAATGGGGAGAAGGGGGAACAGAATGGGGAGAAGGGGGAACAGAATGGGGAGAAGGGGGAACAGAATGGGGAGAAGGGGGAACAGAATGGGGAGAAGGGGGAACAGAATGGGGAGAAGGGGGAACAGAATGGGGAGAAGGGGGAACAGAATGGGGAGAAGGGGGAACAGAATGGGGAGAAGGGGGAACAGAATGGGGAGAAGGGGGAACAGAATGGGGAGAAGGGGGAACAGAATGGGGAGAAGGGGGAACAGAATGGGGAGAAGGGGGAACAGAATGGGGAGAAGGGGGAACAGAATGGGGAGAAGGGGGAACAGAATGGGGAGAAGGGGGAACAGAATGGGGAGAAGGGGGAACAGAATGGGGAGAAGGGGGAACAGAATGGGGAGAAGGGGGAACAGAATGGGGAGAAGGGGGAACAGAATGGGGAGAAGGGGGAACAGAATGGGGAGAAGGGGGAACAGAATGGGGAGAAGGGGGAACAGAATGGGAGGGGGGAACAGAATGGGGAGAAGGGGGAACAGAATGGGGAGAAGGGGGAACAGAATGGGGAGAAGGGGGAACAGAATGGGGAGAAGGGGAACAGAATGGGGAGAAGGGGGAACAGAATGGGGAGAAGGGGGAACAGAATGGGGAGAAGGGGGAACAGAATGGGGAGAAGGGGGAACAGAATGGGGAGAAGGGGGAACAGAATGGGGAGAAGGGGGAACAGAATGGGAGAAGGGGGAACAGAATGGGAGAGAAGGGGGAACAGAATGGGGAGAAGGGGGAACAGAATGGGGAGAAGGGGGAACAGAATGGGGAGAAGGGGGAACAGAATGGGGAGAAGGGGGAACAGAATGGGGAGAAGGGGGAACAGAATGGGGAGAAGGGGGAACAGAATGGGGAGAAGGGGAACAGAATGGGGAAGAAGGGGGAACAGAAATGGGGAGAAGGGGGAACAGAATGGGGAGAAGGGGGAACAGAATGGGGAGAAGGGGAACAGAATGGGGAGAAGGGGGAACAGAATGGGGAGAAGGGGGAACAGAATGGGGAGAAGGGGGAACAGAATGGGGAGAAGGGGGAACAGAATGGGGAGAAGGGGGAACAGAATGGGGAGAAGGGGGAACAGAATGGGGAGAAAGGGGGAACAGAATGGGGAGAAGGGGGAAACAGAATGGGGAGAAGGGGGAACAGAATGGGGAGAAGGGGGAACAGAATGGGGAGAAGGGGGAACAGAATGGGGAGAAGGGGAACAGAATGGGGAGAAGGGGAACAGAATGGGGAGAAGGGGGAACAGAATGGGGAAAGGGGGAACAGAATGGGGAGAAGGGGGAACAGAATGGGGAGAAGGGGGAACAGAATGGGGAGAAGGGGGAACAGAATGGGGAGAAGGGGGAACAGAATGGGGAGAAGGGGGAACAGAATGGGGAGAAGGGGGAACAGAATGGGGAGAAGGGGGAACAGAATGGGGAGAAGGGGGAACAGAATGGGGAGAAGGGGGAACAGAATGGGGAGAAGGGGGAACAGAATGGGGAGAAGGGGGAACAGAATGGGGAGAAGGGGGAACAGAATGGGGAGAAGGGGGAACAGAATGGGGAGAAGGGGGAACAGAATGGGGAGAAGGGGGAACAGAATGGGGAGAAGGGGGAACAGAATGGGGAGAAGGGGGAACAGAATGGGGAGAAGGGGGAACAGAATGGGGAGAAGGGGGAACAGAATGGGGAGAAGGGGGAACAGAATGGGGAGAAGGGGGAACAGAATGGGGAGAAGGGGGAACAGAATGGGGAGAAGGGGGAACAGAATGGGGAGAAGGGGGAACAGAATGGGGAGAAGGGGGAACAGAATGGGGAGAAGGGGGAACAGAATGGGGAGAAGGGGGAACAGAATGGGGAGAAGGGGGAACAGAATGGGAGAAGGGGGAACAGAATGGGGAGAAGGGGGAACAGAATGGGGAGAAGGGGAACAGAATGGGGAGAAGGGGGAACAGAATGGGGAGAAGGGGGAACAGAATGGGGAGAAGGGGGAACAGAATGGGGAGAAGGGGGAACAGAATGGGGAGAAGGGGGAACAGAATGGGGAGAAGGGGGAACAGAATGGGGAGAAGGGGGAACAGAATGGGGAGAAGGGGGAACAGAATGGGGAGAAGGGGGAACAGAATGGGGAGAAGGGGGAACAGAATGGGGAGAAGGGGAACAGAATGGGGAGAAGGGGGAACAGAATGGGGAGAAGGGGGAACAGAATGGGGAGAAGGGGGAACAGAATGGGGAGAAGGGGGAACAGAATGGGGAGAAGGGGGAACAGAATGGGGAGAAGGGGGAACAGAATGGGGAGAAGGGGGAACAGAATGGGGAGAAGGGGGAACAGAATGGGGAGAAGGGGGAACAGAATGGGGAGAAGGGGGGAACAGAATGGGAGAAGGGGGAACAGAATGGGGAGAAGGGGGAACAGAATGGGGAGAAGGGGGAACAGAATGGGGAGAAGGGGGAACAGAATGGGGAGAAGGGGGAACAGAATGGGGAGAAGGGGGAACAGAATGGGGAGAAGGGGGAACAGAATGGGGAGAAGGGGGAACAGAATGGGGAGAAGGGGGAACAGAATGGGGAGGGGGGAACAGAATGGGGAGAAGGGGGAACAGAATGGGGAGAAGGGGGAACAGAATGGGGAGAAGGGGGAACAGAATGGGGAGAAGGGGGAACAGAATGGGGAGAAGGGGGAACAGAATGGGGAGAAGGGGAACAGAATGGGGAGAAGGGGGAACAGAATGGGGAGAAGGGGGAACAGAATGGGGAGAAGGGGGAACAGAATGGGGAGAAGGGGGAACAGAATGGGAGAAGGGGGAACAGAATGGGGAGAAGGGGGAACAGAATGGGGAGAAGGGGGAACAGAATGGGGAGAAGGGGGAACAGAATGGGGAGAAGGGGGAACAGAATGGGGAGAAGGGGGAACAGAATGGGGAGAAGGGGGAACAGAATGGGGAGAAGGGGGAACAGAATGGGGAGAAGGGGGAACAGAATGGGGAGAAGGGGGAACAGAATGGGGAGAAGGGGGAACAGAATGGGGAGAAGGGGGAACAGAATGGGGAGAAGGGGGAACAGAATGGGGAGAAGGGGGAACAGAATGGGGAGAAGGGGGAACAGAATGGGGAGAAGGGGGAACAGAATGGGGAGAAGGGGGAACAGAATGGGGAGAAGGGGGAACAGAATGGGGAGAAGGGGGAACAGAATGGGGAGAAGGGGGAACAGAATGGGGAGAAGGGGGAACAGAATGGGGAGAAGGGGGAACAGAATGGGGAGAAGGGGGAACAGAATGGGGAGAAGGGGGAACAGAATGGGGAGAAGGGGGAACAGAATGGGGAGAAGGGGGAACAGAATGGGGAGAAGGGGGAACAGAATGGGGAGAAGGGGGAACAGAATGGGGAGAAGGGGGAACAGAATGGGGAGAAGGGGGAACAGAATGGGGAGAAGGGGGAACAGAATGGGGAGAAGGGGGAACAGAATGGGGAGAAGGGGGAACAGAATGGGGAGAAGGGGGAACAGAATGGGGAGAAGGGGGAACAGAATGGGGAGAAGTTCCCTTAGCACACGAACATAGACACAGAAGAGAGGAAGCTTACACAGGAGCAAGTGGTGACACACACAGAAAATTTTAGTTAAAAGTGGTGCTGGAAGGGAAAATGACTCACTGAAAGTGACCAGGCGTTTGGTTGGGAAGTTGAGAGGAGGGCGGAAATCAGCATTTGAATTCTTCCCATCGTTGCTGTGCCATACCATGCCATACCATGCCATGCCATGCCATGCCATGCCATGCCATGCCATACCATGCCATGCCGTGCCATGCCATGCCATGCCGTGCCATGCCGTGCCATGCCATGCCATGCCATGCCGTGCCATGCCATGCCATGCCATGCCATGCCGTGCCATGCCATGCCATGCCATGCCGTGCCGTGCCATGCCATGCCATGCCATGCCGTGCCGTGCCATGCCGAACAGAGGAAGTCCGCAGGGATGGAGAAGAGGACTCGGGCGTGGTGGCGGTAGCTGACAACCAGCAGCACTGTGCTGAAATGAAACTGTATGCTGCGGTAACACAATGTGCATGGTATGGTAACCCTATCATAATGTGTCAACAGTGCACATGGTAACCCTATCATAATGCGCCAACAGTGCACATGGTAACCAATCACAATAGGTTCTTACGATGAGGGGATGAAGAAGAGATTCCACGGTTTGGTGGGGTTGGGAGTGGTGGAGGCGGCTACCAGCAGCCCAGTCCCCACTGTTGTCCCGTCCACCCGATACCTCGTCTGCCCAAACCTGTCATACGCGTTCTTGCCCCCACCTGACTGGAGCAGGAGGGTGAGGAGGGAGGGAGGGAAGCAGGGAGGGAGGGGTGAGGAGGGATCTCAAAGCTTGATAACTCATCTTGCCACCCCCAGACTCGAAGAAGGGGGGTGAGGAGGAGGGAGGGAGGGAGGGGTGAGGGGGGAGGGTGGGGAGAGGGGGCGTCCCAAAGCCCGATACCTCGTCTGCCCAAACCTGTCATACGCGTTCTTGCCGCTGCCTGACTGGAGGGGGGAGGGAAGGGAAGTGGTGGTGGGGGAGGGATGAGTGAGAGATGAGGGGGATGTGCCGTGCCGTCCACGCGTTACCCATCTTCCCCAACCTGCCATACACGTTCTTGCACCCCCCAGAATCACGAAAAAGAGGGGGCAGGGAGACAAGGGGAGTGTTTTGAGGAGCAGCGGCACCCAGCAGCACCCAGCAGCACCCAGCAGCACCCAGCGGCACCCAGCAGCACCCAGACACTCTAGTGCACCCCCATCCACTCGCAGTCCAGTAGGTGGCGAGGTAGACGCGCCAGGAGCAGTGGTCATACGTGCCATATGACCACGGTTCAGAGCAGTGGTCATACGTGCCATATGACCACGGTTCAGAGCAGTGGTCATACGTGCCATATGACCACGGTTCAGAGCAGTGGTCATACGTGCCATATGACCACGGTTCAGAGCAGTGGTCATACGTGCCATATGACCACGGTTCAGAGCAGTGGTCATACGTGCCATATGACCACGGTTCAGAGCAGTGGTCATACGTGCCATATGACCACGGTTCAGAGCAGTGGTCATACGTGCCATATGACCACGGTTCAGAGCAGTGGTCATACGTGCCATATGACCACGGTTCAGAGCAGTGGTCATACGTGCCATATGACCACGGTTCAGAGCAGTGGTCATACGTGCCATATGACCACGGTTCAGAGCAGTGGTCATACGTGCCATATGACCACTGTTCAGAGCAGTGGTCATACGTGCCATATGACCACGGTTCAGAGCAGTGGTCATACGTGCCATATGACCACGGTTCAGAGCAGTGGTCATACGTGCCATATGACCACGGTTCAGAGCAGTGGTCATACGTGCCATATGACCACGGTTCAGAGCAGTGGTCATACGTGCCATATGACCACGGTTCAGAGCAGTGGTCATACGTGCCATATGACCACGGTTCAGAGCAGTGGTCATACGTGCCATATGACCACGGTTCAGAGCAGTGGTCATACGTGCCATATGACCACTGTTCAGAGCAGTGGTCATACGTGCCATATGACCACGGTTCAGAGCAGTGGTCATACGTGCCATATGACCACGGTTCAGAGCAGTGGTCATACGTGCCATATGACCACGGTTCAGAGCAGTGGTCATCCGTGCCATATGACCACGGTTCAGAGCAGTGGTCATACGTGCCATATGACCACGGTTCAGAGCAGTGGTCATACGTGCCATATGACCACGGTTCAGAGCAGTGGTCATACGTGCCATATGACCACGGTTCAGAGCAGTGGTCATACGTGCCATATGACCACGGTTCAGAGCAGTGGTCATACGTGCCATATGACCACGGTTCAGAGCAGTGGTCATACGTGCCATATGACCACGGTTCAGAGCAGTGGTCATACGTGCCATATGACCACGGTTCAGAGCAGTGGTCATACGTGCCATATGACCACGGTTCAGAGTAGTGGTCATACGTGCCATATGACCACGGTTCAGAGCAGTGGTCATACGTGCCATATGACCACGGTTCAGAGCAGTGGTCATACGTGCCATATGACCACGGTTCAGAGCAGTGGTCATACGTGCCATATGACCACGGTTCAGAGCAGTGGTCATACGTGCCATATGACCACGGTTCAGAGCAGTGGTCATACGTGCCATATGACCACGGTTCAGAGCAGTGGTCATACGTGCCATATGACCACGGTTCAGAGCAGTGGTCATACGTGCCATATGACCACGGTTCAGAGCAGTGGTCATACGTGCCATATGACCACGGTTCAGAGCAGTGGTCATACGTGCCATATGACCACGGTTCAGAGCAGTGGTCATACGTGCCATATGACCACGGTTCAGAGCAGTGGTCATACGTGCCATATGACCACGGTTCAGAGCAGTGGTCATACGTGCCATATGACCACGGTTCAGAGCAGTGGTCATACGTGCCATATGACCACGGTTCAGAGCAGTGGTCATACGTGCCATATGACCACGGTTCAGAGCAGTGGTCATACGTGCCATATGACCACGGTTCAGAGCAGTGGTCATACGTGCCATATGACCACGGTTCAGAGCAGTGGTCATACGTGCCATATGACCACTGTTCAGAGCAGTGGTCATACGTGCCATATGACCACTGTTCAGAGCAGTGGTCATATGTGCATGCATGTCATGTCATCAACGGAGTCTCTCTCTGCTAATGTGCTGGCTTCAACCAGCACTTAGCCACACCTAGCAGCACCCAGCAGCACCGCACTCCCCACCCACTCACGGTCCAGTAGGTGGCGAGGTAGAAGCGCCGGGAGCGGTGGTCATACGTGCATGTCATGTCGCCAATGGCGTCTCCCTTGGGCGCGCCCTCGTATGACCCCATGTTGCGCGGCAGCGCGTTGAAGAACTGTGGAGGTGGGAGGGGGACGGGGGATGGAAAGACAGGCAGGGAAGGATTGGGGGGGGGGGGAAGAAGGGATAGTTGGGATGGGTGGAAAGCATTAAAGAAATGTGGAGCGGAAGGGGGGGAGTGGGGAGCATTCTTAACGAGCCAGTTCGCCTGGTGGGCGGCACTGTGTTACAGGACAGCCTTTCACATTCCAGCCATGAACTTACACCCTCGCACTAACAGAAACGGTTCAGATTCGATTATACCCCGCTCCCTGAAGCCCCTCCCCTCCTAGCTCTCCCACCCCTCCCCTCCTAGCTCTCCCACCCCTCCCCTCGTAGCTCTCCCACCCCTCCCCTCGTAGCTCTCCCACCCCTCCCCTCCTAGCTCTCCCACCCCTCCCTTCTCCTGCTCTCCCTCCCCCCTCCCCCCTTCTCTCCCCACCGCACCTCGTTGTGCGGCGTGATTGCTGTCAGTTGCTGTCCCTTGGTGTTATACACTACCAAAGCTGTGGGGGTGAGAATGAACGAGTAGTTTGTACATGAAGAGAGGAATAGATAGCCGCGTTTGAGAATGTATGATTCCACTCAAGGGAGGTGCGTGCGTGTGTCAGGTGACGAAGGCTGGGAGGGTGGAAGTATACATTGCCTAAGCAGAAAGCAGAAAGGGAGGTAGTGTAAAATACACGTCTGAAAGGCGGAATGCAGCGACGACGTACCGGAGTTGACTGTATGGAGGATAAACCCGTTCCCCACACACATGACAACATCTGGAGGTGTGACTCTGATCTGATACAAGAAATGTGGGGGGAACACCGTGGGGAGAGGGGGGGGGGGATGGGGGATGGGGAATGTGAGGAAGGGAGGGAGGGTGGGAAGAGAAAGGGTGAAGGGCGGGAAGGGTGAAAACTATCTCGGACCCTCAACGCACGTATTGATGTCCGATGAAAAAACTCTCCTCTATCTGGGCGGCAGCACTCACCATGCATCGGTTGTATCTGGGCGCCAGCACTCACCACGCTGCTGTTGTATCTGGGCGGCAGCACTCACCATGCTTCGGTTGTATCGGGGCGGCGTGCCACTGTTGATCAGCGTCTTCTGGTTGATTCCAGGGAACCCAACCACCGGTTTCCTCACAACCACCCGTTTTAGCTCCACTGCCGCCGCCGCAGTCCCCGCCCCTGCCCCTGCCCCTGTCCTTGCCCCTGTCTCTCCTGGTGCCCCTGCACCTGCCGCCCTGTCTTTTCCGCGTTCCCCCTGCCTGGCGGCCGCCCCCTGCTGCGTTACCCCCCTCGCGGACTCTATTTCCGCCCACAACCGCCGCACGTCGGGGTTCCGCGGCAATCTGCGCCGCGCGCCAGGCGCTACCCCGCCGCCGCGGCGATTTGCGGACGCTCTGTGGCTTCGGCGCGGAGAGACCTCCCCACTGGCGACCCGCGGGGCAGAGTCAGGCGGAAGATCCGCCAAGATCTCCGCGGAGTCCGCAGCGGCTGCGCTTTCAGCGATAGTGGGAACATCGCCGGCGGAATCGGCGGAGAAAGAATTTTCCGCTGTGTGAGCGTCAGACGCGGCGTTTCGCGACCTTCGCAATGGCGCAATCTTTCCTGTTCCCGCGTACAGCAGCCGCTCTGTCAGTTTGTGAATGGTGGCGGCCGCGCGGGGGGTTCTCGCATGTCCGTTGGCGGAAGGCTTCCGCCAAGGCTGCGCAGTTGCCGTCAGCGGAGCGGAGGGAAGCAGCAGCACGAGCGCGAAGTACGCGCAGACAGAGACTCTGGGTCGACGGAAAATAGAAAGCTTCCGCCGTGACGGCGGTGCGCGAAATCGCAGCGACGCCATTGCCGCGGGTAGCGGAGGTAGGATTAACTACAGAAATCAAACGATACAGATCTGTCTAGCCAGACTCAAGTTGGCAAGTTCTGTCGGAAGCTCGTTGGAGATGTGTCGTCTCATACAAGCTGCATCCAAGAATACGGGTTGATGCATGCTGTTTGGAAGAAGCCTGAAGTTCCAGCTCATATCACTGGTGCTGACATTGTTTTGCACGATGCAAAGAGATACGATACGCTTCAGTAAGTCGAACATATGCACAGCACCATCCCAGGCTCTACCAGCTCGTTAGAAAGCGGACGAATTAGGTGCCTCCGATCCCTTGCAGAAAAACGCGGTGCCAGTCTTCCTGGTTTGTGCTTTTGTGCACCCATGTTGGGGTTCAGCGCTCCGTTCTACAAGCGGTGTGCGGTGCACGCAATCGGGTGCAAATATCCCGAATCGGACGGTTGAGAAGCTCGATTACTCTCACGATCCGTAATTGTGAAGGTCGTTGCTGAGTCATATTGAGTCAACGTAAGACGTTGTGAGAAGAAACCTTTACACCCTGTTTCTCGCTACACTGAAGTGTGCCGAACTGGTAGCAAACCTTGTTATCTTTGATTTAACTACAGAAACCATATTAAAACGCAATTTAACCGTCGTTAAACGTGCTTTTTCCACTTGACTTCACTATAACCGAGCTCGCAATTGCGAGAAAGAGGGTGTATTCGCTAAGAGGAGGAACTATCCTCAAAATATTCTCACTATGTTGCAGGAGTGTTTCTCGAATCAGCACGGCGTTTTGACAGTCGCGAAACTGTCCCAGACGGAGAGATTGTGTAACCCCTTGTTTGGCAGAATCTAGGAAGCTCCGAACCGTCGAGTGAGGCGCTGATGCGTGGACTTGCCAGGTCAGCTGACCGAGCTGGCAGCTCGGCGCGAAAACGGGATAGTTCTTTATGTTCCGGAGAGAACACCCATTTTCACCATTCCTCAAATTCTCCATTCATCTACAACAAAGTTTCCGTATTTCACATTTCATTCGCAGTTCCAGCCATGGCCATCAATTTCTCGCTTCTGCTCTGAACGTTGATTGCTCTGTTCTTATTGGAACGACGTGCTGTGGTCGGCTATCGAACGGCTTGAACGCCTGGCTAACACCGGATTTCTTCACCGTCCGAACCATGGCTTCGACCCTTCAATCTTCAGTTCCAACCTGCGTTCGCGTTACGCGTCGAGCTTGCCATCACCCAGCAAGCCAGATCATCCCATCAGGCACAGCATTACCCATCCCACTCGCCATTCATAGACGCCGCGATCCGCCGCGTCTCACGAGCTCCTTCTGGACCAATCCCGCGAATGGATTCGTTAGAAGAGCAGGAGCTCTCAAGAGAGCGTGCGCGTCGGCAGGATCGAGGATCGACGCGGCAAGTTCAGGGAGGAAGAGGCGGGCGGCACGGCGAGCGCCGAGAGCGGAAGCGGTGGACCCGGTGGTTCAATTCTCGCCGGACGACTTTTCCGTGGAGCGACTGCTGGGTACCCTCGACTTCATGAATGTCTCCAGGTGCGCCACGTGTCGGTTCTTCACAAATCTCAAAGGCTTTAATTCAGCTGAATAACAGGACAACGAGTTGCTCATCTCCCTCTGCTTCGAGCCACTCCTGCTGCGCCTTCGTTGTCTACGTGCCGTATCCACATCTCATCCGCACTTCTTAAACACACCTGCTCTCCACACATTCTATCCACACATCCTATCCACACTCCCCCACTCTGCTCTTCCTCGCACAATCCCCGACCCCCATGCCCCTCCAGCTACTCCATGCCGCCCGGGTCATCCTCGTCCACGTCATCGCTGTCGTCGCTGACGTGGCCGGGGTCCCGCGAGGACACGGCAGCAGGGCTGAGCGAGAGGGACATCAACCAGCTGGCGGGCGGCGGGCAGGAGGTCGGGCGGGGCGGCGTGCAGATCAGGTAGATGCTGGGGCAAGCATGTGTGTCAAAGTGAAGTGAACTTACCTCGCCCCACCATTGTAACGAGCAGGGCTGAGCGAGAGGGACATCAACCAGCTTTCAGGAGCCGGGCAGGAGGTCGGGCGGGGCGGCGTGCGGATCAGGTAAACGCAAGAGCAATTATGTGTGTTGAGTGCAGTTAATGCGAAGTACTCTCAGTAAACCGTGTGTATCATGCGTAGAGGGATGAATGAACGAGCTCTGCTGAATGAGAGCGAGAGGGACATCAACCAGCTGGCGGGAGGCGGGCAGGAGGTGGGGGGGGTGAGGGGGCGCGCAGATCAGGTAAACGCTGGGGCAAGCATGCGCGCTAGCTAGGGTGAATAACAACACGTTTTTCTACCCGATATGAGCACGGATGTATGACGAACGATAAGGCTGAACGTGCCGGTGGTGAATGATCGAGGGGCACGGTCAAGCTGGTGGGAGCTGGGCAGGAGGTCAGGCAAGGGGGTTTGAAGCTCAGGTAATCAACGTCAGGCAAGCGTGTGAGCTAGAATTCAACGAACTGGACGTGTGCCTGGGGCTCTTTTCACCCCTTTCTCTCTTCCTCCGCCTCGTCCTCCTTCCTCCCCTCCCCCTTTCCCCCCTCCCTCCCGCTCTCCCTTCGTCCCTCTCTCAGAATGTACCGAGGCCGCATGGTGACACCAGGGGAGCGCCTGGGCACGCGTGCTGCTGAAGGCGTATCCGGGCAGAGAGGCCGCCGCCAAGGCTAGGGACTTCCCCCACCCCTCCCCCTCTCCCCCCCTCCCTCCCTTTCCACCGTCCTCCGCCACCTCCATTGTCCCCCGCTCCCCCTGCGCTCTCAGAATGTACCGTGGGCGCATGGTGACGCCAGGGGAGCGCCTGGGCACGCGCGTGCTGCTCAAGGCGTATCCTGGCAGAGAGGCCGCCGCCAAGGCTGTTGACGTGGACGCCATGGCGGCCAATGAGCTCGTGACACATGTCGCGCTGCAGGAGGCCCAGGTGGGTCCTTGGTGGGGGATGTGTGGGGGTTAGGGGGGTTTGTGTCGTACGGGGGGGGAGATCTGGGTGCTTCAGGAAAGGGGATGGAGAAAGGTCATGTGTGGGGATGGAGAAAGGCCATGTGTGGGGATGGAGAAAGGCCATGTGTGGGGATGGAGAAAGGCCATGTGTGGGGATGGAGAAAGGTCATGTGTGGGGATGGAGAAAGGCCATGTGTGTGGATGGAGAAAGGCCATGTGTGGGGATGGAGAAAGGTCATGTGTGGGGATGGAGAAAGGCCATGTGTGGGGATGGAGAAAGGTCATGTGTGGGGATGGAGAAAGGCCATGTGTGTGGATGGAGAAAGGTCATGTGTGGGGATGGAGAAAGGCCATGTGTGTGGATGGGTTGCAACGTGTGCATCATGCATTGCATATCGCGTGCATGCGTCCGTGCATGCGTCCGTGGTGCTCTTGCATGTCTTCGTTTTTTTCGAATCGATTTACCTTGTAACTTCAGATTGTAAATTGCCTGCCAATGTGCAGGACGAGACACAAGACGGCGAGGTGGATGTCTCTAGCAACGTGCTTGTAGAGATTTGGACACTGGTAATATCCATACTCGTTTTAAGCCCACTCCTCTTGGCATTCTCCTTGTTGACTTGCTTGTCTTTCCGCACAGGACGAGGCACAGGACGATGAGGTGGATGTGTCACGCAACGTGCTGGTGCTGCTGGGCGGCTTTGAGACGAGCTCAGGCGAGAAGGTGCGTGGGGGGGTGGCCTAAGTCACAGAACACGCTTTCAGCAGCAAGGTGCATGTTCTGTACCCGCTGACCATCCTAGATCACCATCCCCACCGCCCATCCAACAAACCACCCCTCATCTCCCCCCTCTCCCCGCACCGCCCACCAGAGCAGTGGTTGGCGATGCGGGACGATGGCTACATCACTAGGGGAGCTCTCAATAATGATGGCCACATCCCCACCATCCGTTCCTTATCCCCCATTCCCCTCCTCTACCCCCCCACCCGCCCCCCCACCCCACCAGAGCAGTGGTTGGTGATGCGAGATGATGGCTACAACACCGCAGCAGGGTAGATCTTGTGGGAACTCTCAACAAAACCACCCATCCCGCCAACCATCCCCCCCGCCCCAACATCCCCTCTCCCCGCACCGCCCACCAGAGCAGTGGTTGGTGATGCGAGACGATGGCTACATCACCGCAGCAGACTATGCCAAGGCTGCCTCCGAAGCTACCGCCGAGGCTCGGGCCGTGGGGGACTTTGAGGTCTGGGACCGGTTCGACCCTGCCAAGCCTCTGTTTCGGCGGGAGATCTTCATCCGGAAGCTTCTGAGAGGGTTCCTGCAGGGGCTGTCGTATATGCACTCCAAGGGCCGGCTGCACCAGTCTATCGGGCCGGCATCCATTGTCCTAAAGTGAGATATAATAACCTTTCTGTCTTTAATCTCCTCGGCCAAATACCTACAAATTGTCTCCAGTTACCACAACATTACCATTTTACCAATTGTAGCAGTTGGTACCAACTACACTCTCTCTTGTTGCACTGCTGCCTTCATACCCACATCAATTGCCCCCTGGCTTCGCTGTTTCTCTGTCTCTCCCCCCCATTCTCTTCCCCACGCGGCATCCATCTCTGTCTTCTCGTCCAGCACAACCAACGAGATGGATGTGCGCTACCTTGTGCCTCGCCTGCGAGACTTTGCCTTCGCCATTGACATCAGGTGCGTTCAATTGCACCCTGTCATGATGTGCCTTTGACGCCATTTTATAGGATTCTCAAAAGTGACTCCCATCCCATGAGCTGTGCCCCCCGATAAGGTGCCTTTTTGGTGCCATAGGCGAATACAAGGACGCCATGTGGCGCCCTTTCAATCCATCATATATCCGCTTTTCCTGCCAGCCCAACTCCTTGCCCTCTGTGCCTCGCAGCAACCCCTCGGTGCTCTCATCAGGCGTGTTGGCACTGCCTTTGACGCCGTGGACGAGGTCAACAACAGCGCGCGCCTTGGTCCACGCGCGCCTCTGGGACCTCTCTCGCTCCCAGCTGTTC